AGCAGGAATTGTAGCAAGCAGTGAAATGGGAAGCAAGATTTTTTTTTTTATGGTGAAAGGATGTAGAGCAATGTGTTTAAAACACTGCGGCATAGATTGCGGCAGCTTTTTAACCAGGCACAGTAGGACTGGGATGTGACAGAAGTCTGAATGCCACAAAGGTGGCTTTGGAGAGGTCTTTTTATAAATTAAAGAACAAGAGAAGTTTTTAACAGAGGGGTATGAGAAAGGGAAGGCAAAGCAGCATGCTTGAATCATTTCCTCGTGGGTGCAGTCTTAAGGAGGTGTGGATTTTATAGAGGTCTGCTGACAAAGCTGTGGCAGTGGCAACTGTCAGTGCACTATGCAAGAATGGAGGGCTTTTTAAAGTTTTTTACAAGGTGGGGAAGGTGAGACTGGAGGCCCTGAAAGACCATAAAAAGCTCATGGAGACAGGAGGGAAGAATGGTGGGGTAGCACCGGTGTAAAATTTCACAGAAACACTAAACAGAGAGGTAGTGGAAGGAGGTGGCAGATAAGCACCTGAAAGGAGCACTGCAGACCTGGCCTGTTTGGCAGCAAGGGGTATCCTGCCAGTAAAGGAGGTACAACACAGATGACGGCTGGTGACAATGCAGTGGTGTCCAAGAGAGCAGTGTGGGGAGGAGGAGACAGTGGGACACCTGTTCTGGGAATGTGCATACGTACAGAGAGTGTCAAAATGAGTCCTTCATTTCTTACAGGTTACAAAGATCGGCCAAAAACTGACATGGGAGATGATGCTGTATGGGCTTACCTCTAAGGGACCAGAGGATGTAGTACTAAAGAAAACTGTAGTTAAGTTTCAAAATGAGTTTCTGGAAAGTACAGAATTGACTGATATTTAAAGGGTTAGCTTTCATGGTAAGAGACTGCCTGAATTTGGGACTGTATAAATTGAGATTTTTCAGGTTTCCCTTGCCGACCACGGGGGTTAGGTTCCTGAAGGGGGGGGCAGTGAGAGGCATGAGCAGGGCCAGGAAGTCTGTGCGGGGTATTTTCAGACTGTACCCCCCTCCTTCTCTGAAGCGTGGATACTCAAAACCGTGGTTGGCGAGGGAAACCTGTATACCCACCCGAACTGTGAAGACATTGGGACCCACCAAAGCAGTGAAGCAGAATTGGAAGAAGAAGGAATGGACTTACCTATTTGTAACCAAGGCTGGGAACAGTTTTTAAAACGCTTTTAATTCCTGTGACATGGGGATGTACAAATGATTTCAAAAGTGTTTAAAGGAGAGATATAACAGGTTTCTGTGTCTTGAGATGTTTTTAGCCAGAGTTTTAAGATCCAAGCGATGGAAATGAGGTTAACACATAAAGGTTTTCTGGTTGTAATTATGTGCAGGTGGTAAGTATTAAACATGATGAAGAGAAAATTGTTAGTGTAAAGAGTGGCTACTTTAACAAGGTCATGGACAAGCTTGAGAGAGTTCAAAGAAGAGCCATCCTTATGATCAGAGTCTTAAAAGACAAGCCATACGAGGAAAGGCTGACAGATCTGGGGCTCTTCAGCATGAAGAAAAGAAGGCTGAGAGGGGACCTGGTAGGCCACTAGGGGAGTTCACCAGTGCACCTGAGGGGAAAACCAGGAATAATGGCCCCAAACTCCTGGAAGATCAATTTCAGGCTCAACATTAGGAAAAACTTCTTCACAGTCAGGGTGCCCAGAGGTGGTGCAATTACCTACCCTGGAAGTCTTCAAGAGGAGACTAGACAGTCACCTTGCTGGGCTCACCTGACCCCCAGTTATCTTTCCTGCTTGGTGCAGGGGGCTGGACACGATGATCTTCCGAGGTCCCTTCTGGCCTTACGATCTATGAATATGTCCTTTGGCATTTGTTTCTCCCACAATGAATCACACAGTATAGTCAGGGCAGGGAAATCCCTGCATACCCTGCTAGAGCTAATCCAGACAAGGGACTTTTCTTGCATGGAGCAGAAACCAGAGCCACTTCAGCACACTAACCCCTTGAGAGCTGGCTCTAGGCTAGTCCAACAGTAGGGCTGTGCGAAGCTTTGGTAGCTGATTCAATTCGGAGGAGATTTGGACTGATTCGCTGGTTGAATCTCCAAATCCGAATCGAAATTGGGAGACCAATTAAAAGGTCCGAATCGAATTGGAATTCTCCATATTGATGCAGAGGGAGGGATTGGGGCTGGGACAAGTTGCCCAGATGAGGAGAGGGGGCATGGGATGTGGGCACAGCAGTGGCAGAAGTGAGGGCTCTGCCCTGCCGATGCTTGCTCAGCTGGGGTTGGGGGAAGAGGGGGTGCGATGCAGGCATGGCTCGCTCTGGGCAGAAGGGGGCAAGTGGCAGCAGGGCATAGCTTTCTGTTTCCATCCCACATCTCTGCCCAGGGCTGCTCTTGTTCAGTTCCATCTAGGGTCTGTTGGTAGTGGCTGCATTAGTGTCAAGCCTGGCAGTCCCCACTTTCTGCATCTGCTCTCTGTCTGTCTGCCTGCCAGGGTGTCTTCTGCAGGCCGGGGGCAAGACACGCCTCATTGCCATGTTTCATGGTAGAGCTGTGGTATTGGTCAGACCTGCCACATCCTGCTTTTTAAAATCTTGGATCTGCCTATGATTGTGCTCAAAATGGCCAGTAGCAGAACATTCCTTTTGGAGTTAACCCTGCTAAAAATGGGGGCATTTCAGCTGAATCAGAATTTTATTTTGCAGAGCTGCGATCTCCATCAAGAATCCTTTACACAAAAGAATTTTTACTGCTGACTCAAGTCTTTCAGGATTAGGCCCATTACACTGTGATGTCACTTATTTTTTTTATTTACCCGCCTTGGCAACAAAGCCAGGAGCCAGTTTGCTTAGTATGAGTGCTTTCTCGGTGTGGCTGCAGCACTCACCTTTAATTATTTTTTTGTGGTGTGTGCTGCATGCTCCTATAAAGTTACCAGGCAAGATCTTTAGTGGGTATAAATCAGCACTGCTCTACTGATGTCACCGGAGGAATGCTGATTTACTCCAACCCAGGATCCAGTCTACTGTATGCATTTGGCTTAAAGGGATGCAACATTAAAATTTCAACAATAAAAACAAACAATTAATTTGGCCACTGCAGAATTTGCTCTGAACAGCAGAGATCTTTGTGATGCATATAAAGAAAGGACAGTTTTATTCTCCTAGCTACAAGAACACTGCCAAGGTCAGCTAACTCAAACAGCCCCTTATATTTGTTTGCAAAATCTATGCAATGCTCCATAGCAGCAGAGCACATTTTCCAAGGAGGGCACTTCAATGCATCACTTTTCTTATATAAAAATACCAGAAAATAAATAACTGCCAACTCTATAAGTGCCTGAGCAAGGCTGTGATAATAAGCTATTGTGTAGAGCTCAGCACTTACAAGCAGACAGAGAACTAGTACGATACCCAAACACCAAGGAGCATGAGCAGCACAACAGATCAGTGGTCACAGATCGGTGATCTGAAGCCACCCTACAATAACAAAGTGGGGTCTGTCTGCTCATTAGAAACCCCAGAACAGAAAATACAGTGCAGTCTTCCCCACCCAACCTACAAATAAACCAGTGAGCACACACTAACAGAGCAATGGACATACACCCCCCCCCCCCGGTGGGTAACTGTAGTGAGTTCAGGGATTTTTGCTTAGCTCAACAGTCTTTAAACACAGTTCATAAAGGCTAGGTACAGCCACTCAAAAAGCCTAAGACTGAATTGATTCAGTCTTTGCAGGTTAGTCTAAACTGCACAGATTAAATTGGAACAGAAGTGAACAGACATTTTACCTCTAATTCAGAAAATGCAGCCACTAGCCTGCAGTGGCTCAGGCCAGAAGCCGAAGAGCATTAGAGCATGGCTCTCTGGCTGTGTGTTCACTTCCTCTTCCTGCTGTCCCCAAGGTCTCTGGGGTTTGCAGTTCAGAATTACAGCAGCAGGACTCTGTAGGGTTGCTTATCACTTCTACTTCCTGCTTCCAGGTGCCTCTGGGATTTATAGTCCACATTTCCAGCCAGCAGTAAGTTTGAGCAGGGGAAGGGGTGTTTAACTCCGTTCCCAGATCCCAGCCAGGTTTTGCCAGAGCCCCCACCCCTATAAATTGGGCTGCATTCCCAGCTGAGCTTGTCCCCCCACCACCCTTTGTCAGGCAGCCCTCACTGTTCCAGCTAGCCCAGGGCTGCAAAGCACGACCATGATTTAACTTGAACCAGGAAGGGACCTGGGATAGAAGTTTCATAAATTGGTTTGACCCAAATCAGTTAAGTCTGATATTACAGGTTTATCTTAAACCAGTTTCATGTGCACAAAGCTTCTATTCTGTTACAGGTTGAAACCAGTTTCTGATCACTTAAACCGATTTGTGTATAATTTCTGTCCCTAGCCAAAGGGTGACTCAGAGTCCTGGGGACCTTTTCAGGACCCCAAGAAAGTGCTCCTGCTGGCTCTGTACTGCTTCTTCAGTACTGCAGTGCAATCTTTCTTCTCCCTTTCCCATGGATTCCCTCTCCTGGTCTCTGTGGGCACTTGTACACATGGCCTGGGATGTGACACTGGGCACTTTAGTTAGCGAGTTGCACTAAAGTGCCTGTGTGTCACATGTATCAGCATCCCTGCACATCCCCATGCTGAAAAAAATGGTGCTTTGAACCAAAGCTCATAGAATGTGTTTTATTTCAAAGCACCCTGCCACCATTTTTTCAGCACGGGGATGCAGGGAGATGCTGATGCACGTCATATGGAAGGCTGCCAGAGTGCACCAATTTCTGTGCTCACAGTTAATTGAGTCTGCTCTGACGTGCTGGATTTCCAGTGCATTGGAGCAGGCTCTGCACACATGTATAAGAGCCCACGTCTGTACGAGTCGGGTCTGTCTCTCTCTGGGAGTCTCTCAGCTTCCTGTGGGCCAGCAACAAGTGGTGGGACACCCTAGGCAAGGCTGGGACCGAGGGTCCCTGGTGGACAAGTCTGTATTCCACCTTAATCCCATGAGACACCAGGGATCTCAAGTGGTGGCTCCTTCAGGGAGCTGTTGCCATGGGTGTGCATCTGGCAGGCTTTACGGGTACCCCCGACACCTGCCTCTTTTGCAAGCAGATGAGACCCTGGTGCACACATACCTGGAGTGTGCCAGGTTGCAGCCTCTGCACCACCTCCTCCACAACCTCTTGCTAAGGTTCTGGCTGCACTATTCCCCTCCCCTGTTTATTTATGCACTCCCTATCCATGGCCCCACCAAGTCCCAGGACTTCCTTGATCAACCTCCTCCTGCCCTGGCTAAGCTGGCTGTATATCTTACCAGGAAGGAAGCTTTGGCCAGGAGGTTCCCCAGGGACTGTGGGGCAACTTTCCTGTCCCTAATATGTTCCCATCTTCAGGCAGAGTATCACTGGGTGGTGTCCACTGGTTCCTTGGACTCATTCCAGGGCCAGTGGATGCTGTCCATTGTGCTCTTCTCTGTGTCTCCCATTGGCACACTACTTATTAACCTTTGACCATCACTCCTATCCCTGTTTTTTTTAAAATAATTTCTCCTGAGTAATCACTTGTTGCCTTTTCAGTAGCCTCCCTGTTTAAGGGAGGCTAATAGCTTACCTGATGAGCCTAGGCTCACAATCCTATGAGGCAAGAAATAGGCCTGTGGGCCAGCGAATTAACCTCTACCGCTATCCCTGACCTCCTAGGCAGCTTGCAATCAGCACCTACTGCCTGTAGCTGGGCTGTAGTCCCTGCCAGCCTGCAGAATACTACAGCCTGAGGTGTGTAGTCTACTGTACTCTGCCACCCAGCCTGCTACAGTAACAATGTTTCTTTTCACCTGCCCTTACTTTGTCTGCTATCTGTTCAGGATATCAAATCAGTCTCTCACTAATTTGCCTGTACAACATCTACCACAATGGGGTGTCAGTGTCATTTGGTGCTTCTGGACACTCACTACCATAATCACCATCAAACCTCCAGGTGTTGCCCACAGGCCTCATGCACGGACCTCCAGGTGTTAAGTCAAGACGGTGTCTTTTTGTGCTGGTGACACTTCACTAGAAAGTGGACTAAGACCCTGCAAACTTGTTTCAAATGGAACCAGATGCTGCTTTTAGACAGCTACTTTATCATTGTTGACATGGGCTGGATTTTTTCTGGATATGAAGTGGTAAAGGCAGAATTCTATTTCACATAGTTTGTGAACAGAGTGCTGCTTGCAACCAATTCTGAGTTACATGACTGAAAATATAAGAACAATTCTATTATTTCCCCTGAGCACACGGGTGT